GGTTATGCTTATGATGGTATATGTGCGGGCTGCTCCCTGAGTTGATGCTGTCGGTATGTTGCAGCGGTTCGGTCTAGACTCGGTCTTGAGTCTTTAACGCGTTCTTTATGAAACAAAAGTAAGACTTATTTCACCTAATATTATAAGGTGCTTTTATAAAGTACGAAATGGAAAAGCGAAAGCCTTCTGTGGAAGTAATGTCTGTCCGGTTATCTGTGATCTAATATCAGCGTCTACACCACTGAATAAATATTTTTCTTAAAAATTTACATTACAGACTTTCATTAAAAGCTGTCCGGATTGCTGACTTTCAGCCACATTCACTCATAACAAAGCCCAATTTATATAAGACCATAAACGAATTATGTATGATCCGAGGTGGGAATACGCGATAGCGTAGTTGGTTGAGGCACTCTGCTATAAGACGGAAGGTGGCGGGTTCGATTTCTGATGAGGTCATTAGATTTTTTTCAATTTACCTAATCCTTCAAGTTGCACTATGATCCTGGGGCCGACTCAGCCTTTAACAGAAATGAGTAACAGGAGGAATCTTCCTGGGGGTAAAGGGCAGACGGCCCGTAAGGCAGACAATTTCACGGCCATCTGTGAACCGATTATCTAGAAAATGTGGGAGCCTCGACCTCTCACAAACCTATGGGTCTCCAAGGCCTGTTACAGAAATAGCTTTATAATCTGAGTTTCTCAGTCGGTGATTATGACGACTTCCATCTTCTGGAATATGACAGCGTTTAGTCCGTCGAAAGTCAATCGACGTTTCGAGACGAACATGTAGTCTCCATCTTTGCTGCTTGCCTCACGCTGCTTTCTCACCCTGAAGATGCAAGGAGCATGTTCCCTTTGATATGTCGGTTAACTTTCGACTGAATAGACGGCGTTATATCCCAGAAGACTGAATATTTCATTTATCAATTTCTTCGGGTACATCATAAACCGTTAATCAAATTTTGGTGACAATTTACACAAAAGATGCATGAATAAACATAGTTAACTCAATTAATTTTTAGCCATACTGACCATCCGCAAAGCCTATTTTACATAATGCCATAAATTAATATTTTCATGAATATCACAAACTGTTACTCATCTTTCGGAGAAACTTCATACGAGAGGTCTCCGAACAGGGTTACTCCACCATTATGACTTCGATCAATATTAACAAACAACAAAGCATATTTTACACAAGGCCATAACTTGACTTCCCCCACATATCCCACGGAGCGTTTCATAATTATGTTGCAATTTGATAACGTGCGTCATTTCCTGTTGATACGTGAATTTTGTGTTTTGTTAAAACGCGATTTATAAACCGGTTGCAAGAAAGCTCAAACTGCAAAGAACGCCATTTGGGAATTTTATGTATTAGAATACCATGGAGTGCACTCCTTCAAACCTTGGTAAGTCACGGTTACTTAAGGCAGAAGGGCGTCAGACTTGATGTGAACATAAATTATCACGACAGATGAGACCCTCATATAAATTAATTTAAATAACGTCTGAAACAAGGACATGTAGATCTGTTGGTGAATAATAACAGAAATATATGCATATTGCTCTCTGTGGATATTATGGAACTAAGTAACTGCAAAATGAATATATACAAAGAGCGAAATAAAAAAACTAATAATAATAGGAACATACCAACAACAACAACAAAAAAACATAAAACAATAAGAACAAACAAATTAAGAACATGAACGTAAACAAAAAACACGGAGACATAATAATAATAATAATAATAACAACAACAACCATATCAGGAATACAATTATTTGAAATTCAACATGCGAATATCAACAAGTCATAAACAGTGGATGTTTAGCAAACAGTGAGATAAAATATACAACACAATGAAAACAAATTAAATAGACAAAAAAATATTTCAAATTTATGTTGCAAATTATAAGCCTTATATGACGAAGACGACGATGACATGTCACTATAGATAAATCTTATCAGAACTAATGAAAGGATAGGCCGCGCCATAGCTCAAGCGGTTAGTCGCTGGCTTCCCGATTCCAGGTCTGGTCAAGTGGGATTTGTGGTGGACAAAGTGGCGCTGGGGCAGGTTTACTCAGAGTACTTCGGTTTCCCCTGCCAATCTTCATTCCACCAACTGCTCCACAATCACCCTCACCTATAATCTGGGCTGGTACAATAGGCCAGAAGTGGCCGCAGTACAAGGGACTTAGTCCCACCCCACTGGCAATAAAGAAATGATAGGATAGATTTTAACACACAATTAAAATATTGTATTCAGTTCAATGGGGTGATAATGGGAGGCTTGGGCCATTACAGACACAGATGAGAATGAGTGGGTTTCGAGGCTTTTACAGCGCTGAAATGTTACATTGTGGTCTTATAGGTTGTGGCATTGCAGACTGGTAGATGAGTACCAATATTTCGGAGGAGCAGACTGTCTTCAGAGAAGGCTTTCTGTACTGAATACGACACTCTGAAATCCTAGTAACCAACCTGTCAGACTACACGGTGTCATACCTGAGGGCTGAAGATGAACTATATCACGCATGAATTCGGATATTCTCATGTCTTATCACAGAGGAGTGACGGATATAGTTCAAAAGACTTCATTATTATTATTATTATTATTGTATTTAAAGCTACGGAACAAATATGAAATTCCATGCTACACAGAATGTATCAGGTTGCCTCAATATATTTTACGCAACAAGTCTAAGAGACAAAACATGCTTAGGACAACTATGGGAAAGACAGCACAATGTTAAAGGCGTAAGCCAGTCTAAAATTCAGAGCGACATGACAGTAAAAACAGAAAGTTTTTGGAAGCATGGATCGACTATTTTCCTTTTACTACTCGTACAGTCTGAGTATCTGATACAAGCAGGAAATAAATTTAGCATGTGCGCGCAATGAAGTCAATAAAACAATGATATAAAATCCGTTTCTACAGAACAAGAAGTGTATATGTAGTAATAAAACTGGAAGTGTTGTCCCCAGAGAGAATAATTAATATAAAAAAGCAAATTTCTTAAAGAAACTGCCTTGCGCTCTTGCTTATCCCAAAAGTATCATGGCCTTCTACATGACTAAGTGGCATCTGTGTAAATCAAATTACAATAATTCTACGGCAACAAGTATGACACAGTACGCGATCACATAAATGTTTAACTGATGTGCAGTATTTTAGTGGTTTGGGAATGTGAATTTATATTTCTTCTGCTCCTACACTGATAGCTTAATTCTTCAAAATATATATGAAATATACGCATATCCATTAAAGAATTGTAACGAGTATCATTTTCACGAAATAAGTGTTTAGATAAGACCAAGGTTACGGCTGCATCAGCAAGAATTCGGACGACCGTTAGCTTGGTACTACCTAATGGAGGTATCTGTGAGAAATGCCGTTGAAAGTGCCTCATATGGCATGGTTAGCATACCAAGTTTCACTATAATAGGTTGAGGCATTCAACTAATATTACGGTTAACTTAACAGTTAAGAGGCTAATTGGAGGTGGGGGGAGGGAGATATTGATGAAGTACGCCATGTGGCATGCCATACACATAAAGTTTCATGAAGATTAGCACAGGAGTTCAAAGTTTTGCCTCAGCAATTTTAGAGGCCACAATGTTGCTATTTAATGACGGGATTTGTGAAGCACGCCACTGAGATGGGCACAGGTGTTATGATATACATACAGTGTTTCATAAGGATTTGTTCAGGTATTCAGCCGTTGTTAGGGGGAAAACATACAGACAGCAAAGTGATCTCATAAACCGACGGCTTCCATTTTTTTCCATATAACGAAAGTAGGCTAATAAGTGTTTGTTATGAAGAAAGCAGTCTTTTGGGATTTGGCACCGTGTATATGTGGTGTTAACCGGTTCTCACGGTCTCTTCGCTTGCAGATTTCTTACATTTTTCTTCTACCCTGAAGATGGAGGCGATACGTTCCTCCGAAACGTCGGTTAACACCACATATACACGGTGCCAAATCCCAAAAGACTGCTTTCTTCATAGTCACCGCCGTGAAAGCCTCAAATCTTACAAAGTGTTTGTTATGTTTTCTGAGAGCCCAAAACTGCATACTGAAATTGATTAGCAAGATGGGATATATACAACTCTTCACTTACGAAGAAAAAAAAAAAAAAATCATAAACTAATCTTCTCAAGTGGACAGTCTAGAAAAATGGCTATACTTGCATTTAAAAAAAACATAGTGAAAGGAAGCTTCATGTTTATATCAGAAGGGAATAAATTACACGCGTCGAGACAATTCCAGTCCATTTCCTTAAGGATAAAAGAAGATATGTAAGGGAGAAATTCTCAGGAAAGTATTTCTGCTTAGATGGGGACCCTCTAAGTGCTGTGACGTCGGCTCCTGTCCGTGGTCTGTGTGCGCACTTCTCCCCTCTACTTTCTCTACTGTCCCCTTCTCTCCTTCCCCTTCCGAGCCGACTTAGCGGCCTAACGTCTGGAGCTCTAGGCTCTTGGTTTTCCAACCGTCGATGGGGTAGGTTGTTCTCGTTTCGGACCACCGGTCGAGGTCATCCTCGACCGTCTAAATTAATTTCTCTACATAGTATTCTATCTTAGAACAGCGAACTCTGCAATCATTCTCATACAGGTATTTACATTATGTTTGTATTCTTTCTTTATTAATATAATATATTTATTCTTTGTTAATATTTGGTTTGGTTATTTCTGTTTGGGTATTTCCGCCTTGCTGATTTCTTCGTCCTCCCCTGCTCGCCCTGTCCTGTGATCACGAGAACCTATATGCAACATGAAGGACCCTCTGTAGGGTACTTACGCTTCAGTAATAACGTATTGCATCACGACTGCATGATGTGAACAGATAAAGGTACAAGTATATGGAAGGACATATGAGTTTGATGTTATATTTGGAAACCGCAAATACATCACGTGACCTAATCAACAAGTACGGAAATTCGTATGAATTTACAGTCACGTTTCCTGCAGCAGTAGCTCACCTCACCTTGCTAGCATCCAGGGGATTGTCACTGAGGTGCACCACAGGTCCCGGGTGGGTTTTCCTGGATCTGAAATGAAGAAATACAAGTAAAAACGCCATTCTAAAGAAACTTCTATCTGTGAAACAAATACTCCTCAATCGTAGCAGTCCCTTTCCAAGATTATCTCCTGCAGCTATTAGCCAAAGTGGGCATTTGTAAAGAGACTAGTTCGGCATTTACACAGCTCATACGAATCATTGAACACTTAAGCAATTTCGGGAAGAAAATGAAAGGAAAGTGACGGGTTTGAGATGACGAAGAGTTGTATCTTCTGGGATATAATGCCGTGTAGTATGGTGAAAGCCAACCGACATTTCGGAGGAACATACCGCCTACATCTTCAGGGTAAACTGGCTGGCTTGCAAATTCCACCTGACTAGATGCTCCTGTTTTTCCGCATGCGGTCTGCTCTGCTTGCTGCCTGCTTCACGACGATTTCTTAGACTTCGAAGATTGAGCCGATATCCTTTTGTATCAAAGTACACGTCAATAATGCAACAATATAGAATACATCAAGAATATGTCACTCACTAAAAATGTGCTTCAGTACTTTATGATGTGAAAATCTTTAAAATGTCAATAGGACACTAGAAGTGTATTTTATATATTAAAAGTGATTATCAATGTTTCTAAAATGTTTCTAGTTCTACATATATATATTTTCTAGTTTACGGCATGTTTCGGCTCACATGGGCAATCATCAGGCGATTTTTCTTTTTGCTTTTGGGGAGACCACTGCACTGTTCACTGGCCCACTCTGCTCCCATGCACGTCAATGTTTAGTTCTATCTCACGACTAGAATGCCGTCGTTGCACTCTTTTGCGGCTATCGTAGTTTTGTGTGTCGTATTTCTCTTGTGTATGTGTCACTAGTGCCATCATCCTGTATTCTGGTCATGAGACAAAACTAAACATTGACGTGAATGGGAGCACGGTGGACAAGCGAACAATAAAAATCACCTGATGATGGCCCACGTGGGCCGTAACATGTAGTAAACTAGAAAAATATATACGTATGTAGAACTCGAGACATTTTAGAAATTTTGATAATCACTTTTAATAACTTTAATGATTTTAACATCATAAAGTATTGAAATACATTTCAGTGAGTGACATATTCTTGATGTCTTTTATATTGTTGCATTATTGACGTGCACTCTGATAATAAGAATAATGCCTCAGTGCAACGGAATGGGAGGCGATATGTTCCTGCCAATGACAGTTCACCTTCAGCAGACTACACGGCGTTACATCACACAAGACAAACTCTTCATGTGTTAGATGTATTTGACAACAAGGTGGTCCGCAGAGTACCTGGAAGTAACAAAAGCGAAGGAAGTGGGAAATTTAGAACACTGCAGACGGCTGCTCGTCAGGATCCATACAGGTTACGCAGGACTGTTATGAACTCAGGGAGATCACGAGGGACTTGCCGTATCAGTTGGGTGACGAAACAAGAAATTCACACCGAAATTTAATACTAAGATGATGATGATGAAGGACTCTGGCCGTGAGATGCACGGACCTGACTTAGGGTTGTGTTCACTGGCGATCGTTCGTATGAATGGCGTCCAACCTTTGGTTTCATTGCCAGAGGACTGACGCATTGTCACTGACTGCAGAATCATTTACCTTAATGCCCTGAACAAAATACGTGTATAAAGCTATAATGTCGGCTGTTTTAATGTATGTGTACGCAACTTGGTCTCCGACTCTGATGGAATAACAAGAGTTACAGGTAAGGTAAAGTTGACCCTCTGCACAACGAATTAAGCACTACGCCATGAAGGCGTATGGGAGAGTGGATGTATAGATCCACATGGAATTTCAAGTTATGAGTAGACTGATGAAAACACGGGAGCTCAAGTAGGACAACAGGCGATTTTCATTTCTCTGGGGAAATGGAATGGTAATTGAGGACAGGACTTTCAGTACATCATGAACTCCATCAATTATCAAAAGGGCAGAGTTCGTTAGTGACAGGATCCCGCATGTAACAGTAAGAGGCCACTGTCTACTGTCGACATACCCTATCGGTACTGTTGCGTGCTATCGGCCGTCGGTACCTGATATTTCCCCCATCTACCAGAGGCATTAGAAACTACTTGGGCGGGAAACCGATGCCTAATTTTGCTTAGAGGTCTCCTAGAGACATGAGGATCTTTTACGTGCCGTAAATCTATGACACGGGACCCACGGCTTAAAGTCCCTCCCGGAGGACTTGTTCTCTGAATTTTTCCGCCCTTAAAAATTCCACGACCTCCGCCGGGTTTGAACCCGCGTACCTTGAGTCATGAGGTGGGAACGTTACCCCTAGACTACGGAGGCCGTTTTCCCTCAGTCTTGGTTACTGAGAGCTGTTAAAGAACCAACAAAGAAACAAGTCTGCTGGTATGCGCACCGGCTGCGAGGAAGCAGTGAAAAGGGAACTGTTGTCGTGAACCCTGTTGCGTGCTTAGCATTCACCGTTCGCACCCCATAGCTGAGCTGACGGGCCGGAAGGAGTAAGATATGATAAGTTACATGGCTGCCTGTTGAAGGGTGTCTTTATAAAGCTCTTCCAATCAAATAAGGTTGAAGGCTGCATCAAAAGCAGAAGAGCTTCCTTCCTGGAGAGCATTTTAAAAGCATCGACGATATAAGTCATACATAGACACCAGATTTCATCTTTGTGTGGAATGTCTACCATTGAAGTATAAGGGAAATATTAAATAAACCCTTTAAAGGGCGAAGCTAGTCTAAACAGGACCTAAAAAAACGAGTTCCAGGCAGAACCAATAAACTGTCTTTCCTGAAGAACAGATGTCTGTAGTAGGGGACATTTCTTTCGGACGGTAAAGATCACGGCCCTTTTATTACCACAGACAAAAATGCTGCTAAAATGTGGGGTGATGGGTTAATATACAGGGGTGAACAAAATAATGGACACACTAAAAATTGAGGAATAGAATTTGTGTTGGTTACACTGGAAGAACTTAAGTTGGCAGCAATAAAGGTTTTTATTCCGTTTGCTTACACTCTATAATGCTCGTGGCAGTGCATTAGTGATTGTGGTGAGTAACACTCCGTGTGAAATAAGCTATGGCTTCACAATCACAGGGGTCCGCGCTATAGCTCAAGCGGTTAGTCGCTGGCTTCCCATCGCGGCGGCTTCGATCCCGGGTCTGGTCAAGTGGGATTTGTGGTGGATAAAATGGCGCTGGGGCAGGTTTTCTCCGAGTACTTCGGTTTCCCCTGCCAATCTTCATTCCACCAATTGCTCCACAATCACCCTCACCTATCATCTGGGGCTGGTACAACAGGCCAGAAGTGGCCGCAGTACAAGGGACTTAGTCCCACTCCACTAGCAATAAAAAAATAGTTAATGTGAAAGAACTGAGAAATGGGAGACCTGTCCTATTTCGAAAGAGAACAGATCGTTGGTGAGCGCGTAGCTGGAGCATGTCACAAAAACTGCCACATTGTTAGGAGTATCGAGAGCAACAGTTTCTAAGGCTATGTCGGCATACACGAATCGTGGGAAGGCAACATCAGTGAAGAGGAACAGTGGTCGAAAGTTAAGAGTGACAGAAAGAGATCGTCGTACACTGAGGATTGTTAAAGAAAACACAACTACCGCAGCAGAACAGGACAGAACTGAATATTCATCTTTAAGACCCTAATTCCACAAAAACTGTCCGAGGTGAGTTTCACAAATCCAACATCCACGGTAGCGCTGCAACTTCTGAACCCTCTCATTACTGAAAGTAATACTCAGATGTGTAAACGGTGGTGTCACAACCATAAAACCTGGCCATCAGACAAGTGGAAACGAGCGCGTCATATGGTCAGATGAGTAGTCCTTCACGGTGCTCCCTGCATCAGGAAGAGTTTACGTTTAGAGAACACCCAAGGTCGTCTACAATTCGGAATGTTTACCTGGTACCAATAGTGAAACACAGAGGAGAGTTCTGTGATGGTTTGGGTAGCCATATAGTGGTTCAGTATTCTGCTGGGTCCATTATTACCCTCCAAGGCTGAATTACGGCAAGGGACTGCTTGCACTGGTTGGGTAATCAGGTGGCATACCATGATCCAGCCGTAATTTCCGAACGACGCAGTTTTCCAAGACGACAGTGCCTCTATTCACAGCTGGAACTGTTCCGTCATGGTTTGAACAGCACGAACGTGGACTCCAACACCTTCTCCGGCCAGCACAACCACCAGATCTGAACATTACTGAACCATTCTGGTCAGTTTTGGAGATCAGAGTGAGGAACAAATTCTCACTTCCAACATCTCTAAAGCAACTTGAAGATGTTCTTCAAGAAGAATGGTATAAAATTCCGCTACAGATTGTTCAAAACTTGTACGAGTCCATTCCAAGAGGGAGTGTGGCTGCAGTGAACGCAAAAGGTGGTCCAACATGAAAAGTATAAAGAAATGTGTAGTGTTTCCATTATTTTGTCCAACCCCTGTAACTAAGTCTGTTGGAACGCTGAGCAGCTAGTGAGGAGTTACCCTTGACTCTGACAGACCAACAGTATGTCCCGAACTTCGTCCTCTTGTGTTGTTAGATGATAACGTTCCCACCTCATTACTCAAGTTTCGTGGGTTCAAACCCGGCGGAAGTCGTGGAATTTTAAGGGCGGAAAAATTCAGGGAACAAGCCGTGTGTTCCGTGTCGTAGATTTACGGCACGTAAAAGATCCTCATGTCTGAGCAAAATTAGGCAAGTTTCCCGCCCAAGTAGATGGGGAAGTAACGGGGACCACTATCGCAGAGGGCCGACTTCGCTGGCTGAACGGGGCTGATAGCGAGCACCAGTACTGGAAGGGCATGGCGACTAGTTAGAATAATTAAAGGGGGACGCACAATAGATCAATAAATGGTCTCAGTGCATGGGGAAACCCACACCCTCCGAATAATAATAATAATAATAATAATAATAATAATAATAATAATAGGTGATAGATAGATAGATATAGATGATATGATTGTCCTAACCTGACAATAAAACGGAATCATGCACTGAGCTTCTGCGTCGA